GACATCCTTTCATATCTTTCTGATGCCTTCCCCTTTCCACTTACGTCCGTTTCAAGTCCCCTCAGTTATGTCAGTGACTTCTGTCAAATGCATTTCCCTCTAGTCTTTATAAGATTCACTTCATGTCTTGCCAACTCCTCTTTCTGATGTCATCCTGTTCACCAGATGTTTATATCATTGCTTATTGCACTTCCATGTCCTCCTTTCAGTGACAAAATAAGCCGCTGCTAATGAAAAAAATGCATGAAAACATTACTAATGTCCCTCAGTCTTCCAGTGCTATATCCGTGTTGTCTAAGTCTGCAGCCTGGGCAGCATTTTCCATAACTGCAACTGTGCAACATCAGGCCCACAAGCGATTGCAGTTAGTTAAGGAATACTAGCTGTTTTATGGAGAACTTGGAAATTCTTAGATGCTTAGCACAATACAAGTTTATTCCTCAGTCATGTTAGAGACCGATGTAGGTGTTCCTTTGCTTCCCACATAGTGATTCAGGAAGCCAGACAAAGGGGAAGTTGATTTGGGGAAACTACTTAGCTCTCTCTGCCACACGTGTTGACAGATGTTTTACAAACAAAGAGATGTAAATTCTAATAAATTTGGGAAATGCTGAATCAAACACAATGTAACAGGGTCAGTTGTTTTGTTCTGTTTTTGCTGTAGTACTTCCTCAGGCTATTACCATCCTACATATGCATCATTCATTCATTTATCCACTCATTCAGTCATTCAGGTATAATTTAGACACATAGGCTGTGGAAATAAAACCATTCTAGCATCAGTTTTTCTTGTTTTCATGGAGGAGGCAGATCTTAATTTATCACACAATACAAAGTTAGTCACAAGCCCTGTGAAGTGCTATCGGGGAATATTATCAGAAGCTCTAGAGACACGAAGCAGGAGGACCCGGCTCGCCGTGGGTCAGAGGAGGCATCCCTGGGGAAGGGTAACTGAGCAAGGTGTCAGGGAGCTGTAGGTTTCACTAAGGCAAGTTGTGTTTGAGGAACTGTCAAAGGTAAACAGAACCAGACACTAGTTAAAGTGGAAAGAACATTTTTTTTTTTTTTTTTTTTGCGGTACGCGGGCCTCTCACTGCTGTGGCCTCTCCCGTTGCGGAGCACAGGCTCCGGACGCGCAGGCTCAGCGGCCATGGCTCACGGGCCCAGCCGCTCCGTGGCATGTGTGATCCTCCCGGACTGGGGCACGTACCCGTGTCCCCTGCATTGGCAGGCGGACTCTCAACCACTGCGCCACCAGGGAAGCCCGGAAAGAACATATTTTAATCAGCGTTATGCTCCTGCAATAGGGAAGCAGGTCCAGCATGAACTGAACTGAACTTCAATTTGTACAGAGATGACCAGGTGTTTTAAAGGGAGAATCAGGCAGCTGGGAGGGGACCAGCGGGGCCTCGAGCAGAGTCAGGGATGTGAAAAACTAGTGAGCGTTGGTCACTATGAGCGTGGTTAGGCCTCTGTGTCTGTATCTGGCAGTGATGGAGGTAAGGATTCAATCCTCTCACGGAGACTGGGAGGCAAGGGGCCTGTCCTTCCTAATGGTTTCATTTCAAAGGAATGGAGTTTAGATCCTTGAGAAAGACACTATGAGTTGTAGGAGATACATACATAATACATCTCAAAAGGACAGGAGAAGGATTCACAATTTTAAGCCCTTTTTAGTATGTGCTCCAAGAAAGGGTGGTCCGGGGCCTATCCTCAGGTGTTGGCTGGAACAAACAGTAAATCCTTTAGGCGGCCTTGCGCTTTCTCAGGCAGGCACTTTGAGGGGGCCTGGGGTCATCCTGGGGATGTGACCTTGAGCTGTTAGAAACTACGTTCGTGTTTGTTTCGGTCCTTTAATTTGGGGAGAATAAGTGGATGAAATCATTTGTGCTGAGACTCTGCATTCTTTATAGGCCAGGGTTGAGGCTTAGTTGGGAGGAAGGCTCAGAGGAGCTTGGCTCGAGTCGGGTCGAGGAGAACATCTGTCAGAACCGAAAGGACACAGCGTGTCTGAGGCCAAGGCTGCGGCTCCCAGCTGGGCAGGGACCTGCAGGTTAGAGCCCTGTGTGCAGGTGCAGAGTTCCAGTGACCGCTTGGGGCAGCAAGAGATCTTCCAAGAGTGAGCAGAGACAGCATGCTGGATTGGCACTTTGCCACACTCTGGCTTCGAGGATAAGTGGGAGGGGTAAGAGGAACTTTGGAGATTCAGAAAGAGCATTGCTGCAGTTCAGGTGCGAGATGGCCAGCCCTTCACACGGCTGTGGAGGGAGAATGTGTCAACGACAGGGGATTTGAGAGCACCTGGGGGGCAGAATCAATCGAACTGGACGAACACTGGATGGGGTGGGCGTGGTAACACAACGAAAAGAAAGACATCAGGATACAGCCTAATAGAACTGCATGCAGAGCAACAACGAGGAGAGGCAGAGGGGCCTCCCTCAGGGTGGAGACACTCAGGGGGACACGAAAGGCAACATTCCAGATGGATTCCATCTTGGCCCAGAATTCTAACACCTATTGGACATTTGTAATCCACAGAACATTCTTAGGGAAACTATTCTAGAGATGTTTTCCAAAATTTGTTTCCCATTTTTATTCTCATACAAAGAAGCAAAATGTTCAAGTTCATGAGAGATTATAAAATTCTCCTTCACATCTCAAACGTCTCTTTTGAGAATTACAGTAATCATAACACATTTTAAATCAACTACACTCCAATAAAAATTAAAAAAAAAAGAATCACAGTAATCAATGTCTGCTATGTGCCAGCCACTCTTATAGACACCTTGATAGATAATTATTGCTTATCTTCAGGATAATTTAGCAGCTGGGTGGTTTTGTGGTCACTTACAGACAGGAGGACTGGGCCGCAGGTAAGCAACAATACTCACCCTAAGATCACACTGCCAGGAGGTGATGGACCCAGGTCGCCATAACCGGCAGGCTCTGAAGTCCACTTGGGTTCAAAGCTTTGCTCTTTCTCACTGGCTGTGACCTTGGGCACAGAAGTTAACCTCTGGCTTCCTCGGCTTCCTCATGTATTAAACGGCAAACATACTTACAACTACTCACGAAGTTGTTGTAAGATCAAATGAAGCGATCTGCACAGCTGGCAAGTATGAGTACTCCAGAAATGTTTATTATTCCTCCCCCATGCTCACCCCACAGAGAGGATAACTCCCTCTTGGCCATTCAGATTCTTCCTCCTACCTTTCAGGACGCTGTCTCTCCATCTCTTGGACGAGTCGTCTCCCTTCCTCGTGACTCGTCGGTTATGAGTGGCCGTTCCTCCCTCCTGAGGTCCGACTTCCACTCCCAGGCACAGCCTGGGTCTGTTTGGCTCCAAAAGTTCAGAGTCTGTTCTCTTTCTCTGCCAAGTGTCCTTCCTCCACCATTCAGCTCTTGGGAGGACTTTGGCTTCTTTTATCCTTTTAAAGACTTTGCATCCTCTCTAATGAGCAAAGCGTCCACAGATGCCTGCGTTTTCATCACTGCTGGTCTCATGAACACACAGCTGATTCTGTACAGATCTCACACACAATGACCTCAGTTTCCCAACGTTTTGGTTTAAAGGTAAACCACAGTTGGAAGCGGCTCCAGACCCTGATCCTTCTGTTGTTCTTGGGGCGTCCCCTGGCATTTGAACTGCTCAGGCCAGCTCTCTCCTATCTGCAGACTCTTGTGCATGCTAATAATAAACGAAGATTTACTACCGCACCTTGCTCACTCACTGGAGGATGTCTCGCAGGCACTCAGTCTCCATAATAGAACATGAAATCTTGCTCAGTAGTCTCGGCACCTGTTTAGTTTGGTATAGTATAGACTCTGGAGCCAGGTAGCCTGGGTTTAAACCCGGACTTCGCCACTAAGTAGCCAGGAAATGTTGAGCAAGTTATTTAGCTTCTAAGTGGCCCACTTTCCCCATCTGTAAAATGGGGTAGTCAGCACAAAAGAGTTTTTATATATAAAGAGACTGGCACATAGTAAACACTTACATAATGTCATTTTTTTTTTTTCCTTTTTTGCGGTACGCGGGCCTCTCACTGTTGTGGCCTCTCCCATTGCGGAGCACAGGCTCCGGACGTGCAGGCTCAGCGGCCATGGCTCACGGGCCCAGCCGCTCCGCGGCATGTGGGATCCTCCCGGACCGGGGCACGAACCCATGTCCCCTGCATCGGCAGGCGGACTGTCAACCACTGCGCCACCAGGGAAGCCCACATAATGTCATTATTTGCCCCAGCACCTTAGTTAGTTATAAAGAAATTCCTAAATAGAGAGCGTTCAGTTCTTTAGGCTGAGATATAAATAACGGTTCATTTCTCAAGACATTTAATTTTCCTCTTGCTTTCTGTCTACAGCCTGCTTCACTACTGCATTTGACAATTCTCACAAAGGGTAAATGATAAATGATAAAGCCAACATTTTGGTCCACTTATTTTATTCCAAGCTCTATTAAGAAATATAGTGAAGGAAATGTTGATTCCATTGAATAATAGGAGTTTGGGGTAGTATCACTGTTACTTAAAAAATTATTTGTGTTACTCTCTGTTATCACAGAGAATAAGGACTTTGCTGTATTTTTGAATTTGACAATTCTTTTTTTAAAAAAATAATTACCAAGGAAGGAAACAAGAACAATTCTTCTCGAGTTGTTGATGCCTTTCAAAATGCTGAATTACCTCTCTATACCTGTTTCCAGAATTCTAAAATGGGGATAAAAATGTTATCTGCATTATAGAGCTGCTAGGAATTTTATTTTATTATTTAAAAAAATAAATTTATTTATATATTTTTATTTTTGGCTGCATTGGGTCTTTGTTGCAGCACATGGGCTTTTCTCTAGTTGCGGCGATCAGGGGCTACTCTTTGTTGCGGTGCGCAGGCTTCTCATTGCGGTGGCTTCTCTTGTTGCGGAGCACAGGCTCTAGAGTGCAGCCTCAGTAGTTGTGGCGCACGGGCTTAGTTGCTTTGCCGCATGTGGGATCTTCCCGGACCAGGGCTCGAACCCGTGTCCCCTGAATTGGCAGGAGGATTCTTAACCACTGTGCCACCAGGGAAGCCCCTAGGAATTTTAATTTTATTAGGTAATAACATGGAAAGGGCTTAGAGTGATACTCAGCACAGAGTAAGTGCTAATAAATATTATTTATCATTTTCTTAAACATAAACACAATTTCATGAGTTATTTGATTTCCAAAACAGCCTTCCCAGCGTGATTAGCGTAGATTGGCCCCACCTGTTGAAAGCAGGGCTCCCTTTCCCTGGCCTCACTGATTTCCTCCAAAAGCCACAGGGCCTGGGTATCCAAATCGAAGAGTGGAGTAGTTAAAATCCTGTTTGCTGGCTGGAGAAATGCAGAGAAGCAGAGGAGATCTGATGTCTTAGCAGTGATTGATCTGCACTGACTCTGTTATCATGGCACTCCCATGGCACACTTCCTGGGCAGATGAATCATGTTTCCTGGAACTGTCTGTCAGAGGAAGTTTGCTTCTAGGACGCCTGGCATTTTGCTTAGAATTCAGAGATAAGCTATTTCAATTCTAAGGACAACCGCTGTTCAAAACCACACGTAAAAAGTGAAAACAGTGTGCCAAACTATTCAGTTGAAGACTCCCTACCGGATATGAATCTAGCATTGGACGAAGCAGGATCATGATTCAAAAGGAGTTTAGAATGAAGCGTATCCATTGGTTAATTAAGCCAGATACTTTGTAGTGTCACTAAGTGCAACAAGAAGCATTTTAGAAGCATTTTAAGACTCCCAAGTAAAATGCCCAAGTAACATGTGAGTTTTTTTAATTACAGAAAATTTAAAGGAGAGATGTTTATTTCAGTGTGATCAAAATCCCTTTCCTCAAAGGCAAATGCTGATCACTTGTCACCATCCCTCACAATGAAGAATTTTCATGTGATTGCATTAATTTGCTACAGTTGAGGCAAATACAGCAGCCTTCAAAAGAGAGCCTTTGCTCTCAGATTCAAAAGAAACTGTGTGTTTCCCCTCTCAGTATCCTCTCCAACATGAAGGACAGGATCAGGTTAAATAATAATCAGACCTACCAATAATTTCCACACTACCCGCAAGCCAGTGAAAATTCCATTTGATGCTCAAAACTTGAAATTGCTGTAGCCACACTTCCTTTCCTGGCGGTTCTCACCGAGCTCTGCTTCTCAGACCACAGGCATCGGGTGCATGCAAGGTCTCTTCCATCATCCAACAGACACATGGCAGGAAGCAGAAGGCTAAATTCAGAAATTAGTGGTCATTGTTGTGGATTTCAGTTAATTACACTGATTGACTATGTTTTACAATGGGAACAATTTCCACCTGCAACATTTCAGAATTTTTTCAAAAATGACATCTTTACCCTTCAGTTCTCACATGTACTTATGTACTGAACAGGCTTTCTTCTCCCGCCCTCCCTCAGTTGGGGAAGAGTCTGCATGGCAGGGCTTTCGGTCCTTCCAGCTCCAGGTTCTAAGATTTCATGCTGTGCTATAGGTCCCTCCCTGTTTCTGAGTCCATCTGTAGCAGATGGTTAGGCTTTTAAGAGGCAGAATAATTTTTTTTAAATGTTGAGTGCTTCACATTAGCGGTAGAGTTGGCAGAGGGAAGGCTGTGGTTCATGGAATTAAATGTTCATGTACATACGAGGGAGAATATGCTTGGCTTTCAAAGCATTTCACTTCCCACTAGGGAGGGAATTAGGCACTTATTGGTCCATCAGTGACTATCAAAACTTATGTTTGTGAGAGCTTTTTGGTCCCTGAACATCTGAAAGAATGCTTTTTTAATAACGAATTAGTCTAATTAATAATAAAAACCTAGTTATGATTAAAAAAGGAAGCATTGTGGACAAAATATGGTTTTAAATTAATGCTGGAGGAGATTACCTTATATAATAACATTTTAATGGGCTAATTTTCACAGATAGTCTTGAGACACCTAAAAAAGATTGTGGAGACAGACAATATAATATTTTTAGTAGACCAGCTGGGTATCTGAGAACCTAAAAGCGTATGGAATTCTGACACTGGAAAAACATTACCAGTGCACATCTACATTGCTATGTCAGTAGGTCCCCAGAGACAATGCTTTAAAAATAAACTTACCTGATTACACAGGAATACAGGCATTGCAGACATTTTGGAAGATACAGAAAAACCTAGATAAAATAAAAATAACCTAAATTACATCATTACTGGTAATATTTGGTGGTACTTATTTCCTGTAGTTCCATCCTATATATTTATTTTATTTAATATTTGAAGGGGATCATTTTGTACATACTGTCCTATAATGACTTTTTTACATGTAACAGTAGCTTGCGAATGTTTCTCCTTGTTACTTATTTATCTCCTTGTTACACCACAGCATTTGTGACATCAAATGTTCCACCATCACAATACAGCCACCCATTCTTGTTGTAAAACACATAGAATCTTTGCACATTTCCACTATTATAAACAATGCTGAGATAAAACATCTTTGTAGTTAAACCTTTGCATACGTCCATGATTAAACGATGATTAACCAAACAAACAATCCCAAATCGCCCTTTGTGGCTTCTAAAATAAGTAATATGTAGAAAGCAAAAATAAATATCAGTGCGCTATTAAGAGGGGACAGCAACTAGCCACCCCAGGGAAAGGAGACTATACGGTCTGTGTTTGAGACAGACCTGTAATTCAGAGTGACACAAAATAACTCAGAATGTGGTCTTTCAGTGGTGTTTCTTTGTCTCCTACAAAGCGCAGCACTGAGTCACTGTTTCCTTTTAGATGGTACCTCATGCTTCCGGCTGCAGCCTGCAGCACATGGCAGTGCGTTTCCCGGGCGGGGGGAGACGTGTGCCTCTGTATCCGAGGGCACTGTGAGAGCGCCCCGGTGTCTCACGGGGAGCCTTCACCTCCAGGGCCATCACGGCGCCCTCTGGAGCCTACCACGCTCTGCTGATGTGCTTTCCTTTAAACCTTTGCCTAATTTACCTCCACAATTGGATTCCTTTTTTACCCGAGGCTCTTCTCACCCACAGTGGGAGCCTTTTACCCTACTTGATGAATCTTGCTTGACAATTTCTCCTATTGTTACAGGAACATTTCAAAGCCCTTCAAATTTAAGGTAAACTCTGAAAGCTCCAAGTTTATCCAGGAGATTTGTTTGTAAACATTGGACAACAATGTTCTCAACAGCTGTTCTAATAAAGCGGTTCCCATAGTTCCTGGTACACTTGTTTTTTGGGTGGGGAAAATCGGAAGAGGTGCTCCAAGAATTCACCAGTTCCCACTCCTCTGGAGTTCCAGGGGCCAAGCAGCCAGAGCTGCAGCCTGGCCGGACGGAAAGGGGAGAGGAGGCTGCAACAGGAAAAAACACAGGTAGAGCCACTTTGCTTACCGGTGGTCTCTCCCTGATCCGCTCACCAGGGCAGCCTTGACAGATTTCCCAGTGTCCTCTTCGCCACCAGCCCTGCCATGATCCACCGTCTCCCTCCACTCAGACACACACTCCCTGGTCCGCCTGCCCCACTGTATGATCTGCACTGGGCTCTGCTCCCCACACACAAAACCAGGTCGTCATAGCAACACGCTGCCCCTGACGGCCATCCATCTCCTCGCAAGTGATTCATTGATTTGTTGCTTCCCCGTCACGTCTGCCAGGGATGATTTCTGAGAAATATTTTATGTGAGTCAGTTCAAGTTCTTTCTACCTACCCATCATATTTTTTCTCTCAAAACTATTTCTGGTATGGTTTCTTTAGAAACAAGGTTGGTTCCCTTTGCCTCTGACCAAGAGTTAGAATAACGTTTGGGGTACTTTCCATATGCCAGGACTCATCCTCAACCTATTACCTGGTTTGTCTCATTTGCTAAGCACAACAACCCTATGAGATAAGTACCATTAAGATGCCAAGTTTACAAAGAAATCTTAGCTTATGGAGGTTACGTAATTTTCACAAGATTATATTCTAAGCAAATTTTAGTGCTAGACTAGACTTTGAATCTAGAGCCTGACACTGACCACATTGAATATACTCTAGTGTGTTCCTACAGTAAAATTACCGTCCGGCTCTCAGTTGAAATATAATCTTCTACTAGTGACATTGACTTCAAAAAGCCCCCCTGTGAACTCACTGAGTATAGTTCTCAGAAATGTAACTGTCTTCTTTACATTGACCAGAATTTTTGCTCTGTAAAACCATCAGGGATTCTCTACTATACCTAGAATTCTCCCTCGCGGCAGATGAATTATTTCAATTACATATTAAACTCTAAAGGATAAAGTTCTTTTGGGGTTCTTAAAGATTTGTTATAGGAACTGGACCAAAATTTTTTTCTGGAAGTTTCTCCATATTTTAATGATACCATCTCAAAGAAACTCTTGATTTAATTTCTTTATATGGACTATATTTAATTCTTACGATTAAACCTCCACTATAAAAATGTTTTTCTTCCAGAAAAATTTCAAGTAAATAGGAAAAACAGTAGTTAGAAAAAGTGTGAATTCGATGCTGATCTAAAATAGAAAGGGCTAAGTTTTAGTTGTTACTCACTGTGATTCTAAAGTGGGTTTAGAAAAGAAGTCTATCTATACATCCCAAACTGAGATAGGAGACAATTAGTTATAGTTTCATTCATTAGGATCACAAATTTTCAAAATCATAAAACCATTTAGCAACAAAGAGGCCCTTGAAAAGCACACTTCTGTTCTGAGAGTTCTTGCAGTTTATAAAGTTGATTCTTGCTGAGGGAACAGGTTACACATTAGCTGACCCTGGGTTTCTCCAGACTTGAGTTCCAGTGATTCGTAAAGTACCTACAAAAACCTTAATCTTAAAAAAACCTCACTCTGTCGGTGACATGTCTTCGGTTTTCTGTCTTCCATTTTGTATGCACTATTTAGGAGTCCACGGATCATTTCATGTTGCAACCGTAGTCAGAAATCTCTAATGGCCTCATCAACTCTGCATGCACCGAATTATCAAACCCCTGCAAAGGAAGTAGATAGAGATTGGCAAGCGAGACTTCTGCAAGAGATTTCCTTCCTCTCCGAGTGTTGTAAGAGTGGTTGAGATGTTTCAGGGTGATGCGGGGGTGGAAGATCTAAAACACAAAAACCCTAAGCGAATCTTCTCCCGAAGAGGATAACTGAAAAGATTCTACACAGCAGGTTTTGTACATATACATATCCACATCTGAAGATACATTAAATGGCAACTTGAAAATGTAAACAGCATTTCAATTATTAAAAAAAAACCAAACCTCTAGACACAGTTATACAAATTCGATCTTCATATTCAAAGTAAGAATCTCAGTCTTTCACTTCTTAATTTCTGCTAGTCCCCTTCCTATGGACTCAAGGCCTCAAATACTGTTCAGATGGAGTAAATCTTGGGGCTTTCTAAAAGCCGGAAATGGTACCCTTAGCGGAACCGAGCCACATGCTGGCCAGGAGTCCCAGTGAGTCACAGCTGGGATGGCCTGTGGTTAACGTTGTGCTCTGAAAACAGAATCAGGAACAGCAGGCACCCTCTGGTTTCCACGGTAACCGGTATTTGTGTACTTTGAAAAATGACTGTTCCTTTTTGGGTGGTAAATTTAAGGAGGGAATGAATTGTTGAGGTGATGTTAGCCATCTGTGTGAGTATAAACAAAAACCCGTGATTTAATTAAGTGTAAACGTTAGAAAGACATAAAATTAGGGGTGTGGGATTTTTTCTTCTAGAGAGGTATTTTTCTACACTAATTAAGTCATTAATTTATTTGACATTATATGTATTTTCATCAACGTCTATTTGATGTTTATTTCAACGTATCATTCTCTTCCCTCCAAAGGCAAAAAGAAACTACTTGTTATTCACCACTGTTCCCCCCAGACCCACTCCCTTTGCCCCCAACCCCCATTCCATTCACAGTGTGTTATTTAAGAGCCACTGGGATCAGGGGCTCTCCTTCAATGAAGTAATTCCATCCGGAAGGAAGAAAAAAACATCCCCTCCAAGTCATGTGAAAGTGTCACGTTTCTTAACCTTACTGAGCTGGGAGGCAAAAGCACTATACTCTTTATGACCGTGCACAGAATCTAAACTAGGGCTTCTCAAAATGTTGCTACCTAGTTTTTCAGAAGATCCATGAAGCTTAAGGCAATTATAGTTCTAGAGAGATCTTACCTCATGTTTTGTTGGATAAAGATGAAGTAATTAAAGTTTTGGTCACTGCAGTACAATCCAAAGTTTAGAATGAGCCTTTTGGAGTGGAAACCAGTAGAGCGTTTTCTTGTTTATTATGCTTTGGCGTGAGAACAGTATGTTTGTTTTTGTACTAATTAGTCTTGAATTGGAATTCATACCCTAGGTTTAATAGAAACTCTGTGGCTGAAATAAATACCCTGCAGTGAAGCAATAGTTTAGGAATAAACAGGTTACCATACAGACCTTCTTCCCCCTCTACCTCCTGCAGTGGGTGGTGGGTCTGGAGATGGGACGTGGAGGGCTGTTTTTGTTTCCTCTTCTTCTTATGTGGCTTTATTCTTTCTCTCATTTTTGCTCCCCCTTCATGTCTTCTGTCAACCACCTACAGTATTAGAAGTTTGATAATAAATACACATATTCAAAGCAGCAGTATTTAAAAAATTAAAAGGAAGCTGAAGGGACAGGTCTGAAAACTAAACCTCATCTTTATCATCTGCATAAAATGCTTAAGTTTAGTACTTAAGAGTGAGTGATATAATGGACTTCTGAGTTTCTCTTTTTAAATCTCAACTGACCTTCCCCGCGTCGCACAGAAATGTACGGCTGATCAGCCGCCCGTTTTGAGAACTCAGTGAGATGACCCAAATTTAGAAATCTGCGATTTTTATTACGACCTTGAACAAGGCCCTTCTGCAGAGTGGCCACAAAGGATGCAGACCTTTTGCTGCCTGAAAGGAGCATGCTGAAGTTTAGGACTGTAAGATCCTAACAGGTATCTAACTGTGCAGCGTTAAAGTAACAATGCAGATTAAGTGCCATTAAAATCAATGCAGCTGTCGGGGAGATGGCTGTGTTCCTTCTCTGAAGCTGTTGTATTGGGAACCTGCCCTGGACAAAGCCCTGTGCTCGGCTGTGAGGGGATGTAAGAGGTAGTCTGGGCTCTAAGGAAACTCGTAATCAGTAGGGGAGAGAGACACACATGCCTATCACCAGAATGTGCCCATTTCCACAAAGAAGCACAAATGAAAAGCTGAGGGGTTTCAAAGGAAAACTAATTTATGACCGGCTACAGGGATTAGGGAAGGCTCCATGGAGGGGCTTTGTAGAATCTGATTAAGAAGCTTTCCATGCTCAAATCAACATACTTCAAACAGTATTTTCTATCATAACATTTCAATAAATAAAAATAATTTGGTCAGTGTGGAATTTATTGAATCCAGATGATACATTTACATATAGACACACACAAGCACATACACTCACACGTGTGTACTCTCCAAGAGAATAATAAAGGAAGTGCATGATCAGACATTTTCCATTTTTTTATAATGGGCAGCTCATCCCAAGGGTAACTGGAACAAAGCATTTAATGTGGACATTTGGGGATTAAAAGAAAATGTAGTGGCCTGAGTCATGAGGAAGCCAATCCTTTTGGATTATCATTATTTTTACCAATTGAAGAGATATGGCAAAGGTGTTTATTTTTTTAGTTTGGAGATATGTATCTGATGAAATTAGGCAGATAAAAGGTACCCAACAGGATGTATAAGTACCTCAGTGGGGAAATGGGCAAAGACCTCAGCAGAAAAGTTGCAAGAGAAGAAAAAGAAATGCCCAATAAACATGAAAGAAACTTCAACCCCAAAGTAACAACTTAAGACAATTACAAAAAGAAAACAAATTTTCACTATTAGCGCCAGTTTTTAAAATAATGGCAGTCATAAAATATTTCCATAAACTGCTGGTGGGAGAATAAATTGGTATAAACTTTCCGGTAAGAAGTTTAATAATATATATCCAGAGCCATGAAAGATCATGCTCTTTAATTCATTCCCTTTATAGGAATCTTTCCTAAGAGAAATTTAAACTATCAAACAAAGACATATTTATTGGCCCCCAGGTTGGAAATATGCTAAGTGAACAACAGTAGAATTATAATGTAAATCAGCATGTTAGTAGTATTTTGTGCCACTATTAAAAATGTTTACATAGACTATTTAGTGAAAAGCAGGGAACACAATTAAATGTGTAGCCCAAATTGATACACACACATATTCCCCTGCACACATATGTGTATATGTACATATACAAACAAATGAAAAAAATGTTGGTAAGAGAAGCTTCTGGTATTAACAAAATATTAACCGTGGTTCTCTTCAGTGGGATTAATTTTTGCATCTTCCTTTCAGAGTTTTCCAAAATGTCTAATTGTTTATAGATAGTATTTATTTTAAAAATTGATAGCTTACAGATACAATACTGTTATTCACTGAACATCTCTCATGTGTGATTCATATGTGAACCCATCTCACCTGGCCCAGCATTTCCTTCTTCTGTGCCTGGATTATATTGGGTTGGCCAAAGTGAACTTTTTGGCCAACCAATAATTTGGAGGGACCTCTCTGTATATAATTATCTATTTTTAATTCCTGTACTCAACCCACCTCAGTAGATTTACCCGTAACTTTTGAACCAAGGAACAGCTTTTGCTGCATGAGTGGACTTTGCTTCTTCCATCTGACAAGCCCTGGAGGTTTTCACACTGGGAGGTCTCTCTCTGATTGCAGCTCTATGATGGCCCACGGCGCATGGGGCGCTATTGTGGAGCAGACATTCCACCTTCAGGGAGCACCACGGGCTCCAAGCTTCAAGTGCTGTTTTATACCGACGGGGTCGGTCACCATGAGAAAGGATTCCAGATGCAGTGGTTCATCCAAGGTAAGCCCTCTGCTGATCTCAGTTGTATTTGGTAGTTGCTATTTGACCAAGAACCGTTCCCTTTGCAATTCTATATTTGGAAACAGTACCATTCACGA